CACGGTTTAGTCTTGGCTAAATCTCCTAACTGCCTTGGATCTTACTCCTTGTCTGAAAAGTAGGGGTAATTGTCTCTTCTCTGCTTTTCCCTCAGGGGTGTTCTGAGGGTAGAATGACTTAATCCAGAGGTGCTCAACCTCGGCTGCACGTTAGAATTACCTGAGGAGGTTGTAAAAAATACCCTTTGCTAGGCCTCACCCAGCCCGATTAGGTCAGAATCCACGGGTGTGGGACCTGGGCTCTGATAGTTTTTTATTTCCCAGGACATTCTGTTTTGGAATCAGGGTTGGAAAAACCACTGAAAATCAAGGAGATAATACCTCACATTAGGATGATGCTCTGCACCTTTTTCTTTCTCCCTTCCCTCCCTCCATCTCTCCCCCCTCTTTCTCTCTTTCTCCCTTCCTTCCTTCCTTTCTTCTCTTTGTTTCCCCTCCTTCCCTTCTTCTTCCCTCTTCCCCCCTCCTGCTTCCTTCCTTCCTTCCTTCCAGATTTATTTGAGAGAGAGGACAAGTGGGGGAGGGGCAGAAGGAGAGGGGCAAGCTGACTCCCCACTGAGCAGGGAGCCTGCCACAAGGCTCCATCCCAGCACCCTGAGATCATGCCCTGAGCCAAAGTCTGACGTCTAACCAACTGTAGCCATTCAGGAGCCCCTCCTCTACTCCTTCCAAATGGTGTCCCATGGAAACCTATGGGGCCCATAAGGCAATGGATTTCAAACTTTTTTGACTGTAACCCAAAAAATCCCTTACCTCCCAGTGCACACACTCAGTTACACATAAATGCACCCAGATTCATGGAAGTACAGCTTTCCCGGAACAATGCTTTTCCCTTTCTGTGTGCGATTCTCTCTAACATTTTTCTCTTCCTGTTCCATCGCGGTTTAGATGACTCCGCTTCCTTTTTCTGTTTATGTGAGTGGAGAGCTGATTTAATGATCTGCTAATGAGTGCTCACTTGTAGTCTGAAAAACTCCAATGAAGAGTGGCATATTTCTGGGAAGCAGGCTTACCCGGTCTTTGATGTTTATTCCCTCGAGTCCCGGGCTGAGACTACTGGTGATCAGAGCAGCCTCCCCCCTCTCCCTCCCACCTACACCTCTACCTGCTGCACCAAACCTTCCCACCAATGGCTGTCCTGAGAAATGTTTTTGGCCCTGAGTTGGGTGATTTGAAGTCTTGCTTTCTCTTCCATCCTGTAACCCCTGAAATGGTGGATCTTCTACCTTGGACATAGTACTTCGCATAGAATTTGTAAATCAAACTCAACCTACATTGTTGATTGAATTATAGGTACTTCACTGAAGGGCTTCTTTTGCATAAACACAAGAGATTACAGTTGATGGGTCCCTGTAGCTGCAGCGTGGTGGTGCGGATGCTAAGTCCAGGCTCTTTATTTTGGAAAACTGGGGAGGCCCCTAGGTCACATGTGGTGGACAAGATTCTGTCCCTCCTGCTCTGCCCAGATCCTCTTCTTTGCGAGCTTTCTGCTCCTGCTCTGTGTTCTGGGTTCTTCTATGTAGGTTTGTTTCAGCTACAGAAAAGGCTGAGCTTCTCTCTTTTCATTCATTAACTGTTTGGCCATCCCAGCCCGGTTATCCTCTGTCACATCCTTATCCCTGACCTTGGCGTTGCTTCTGTTGGTTGGTTTGTGACGGTGGGCAGGTGCTCGAAGCTCATAGTTCTCTCCCAGGACATCCTCTCTGATATGCAGCCTAATCAGTTGCCCACCACTTCCTTCTCTCTGCTCTATTTCCATGGGGAACGTTAACTACTTCCAAATTTTTATACTATTTAGAAGTAGTGTAAGTATTTCTTTTTTTTTTTTTTAAGATTTTATTTATTTATTTGACAGAGATCACAAGTAGGCAGAGGCAGGCAGAGAGAGAGGAAGGGAAGCAGGCTCCCTGCTGAGCAGAGAGCCCGATGTGGGGCTCAATCCCAGGACCCTGGGACCATGACCTGAGCCAAAGGCGGAGGCTTTAACCCACTGAGCCACCCAGGCCCCCCAGTATAAGTATTTCTAAAATGTTCTCCCAGTTTTTCCCCCAATGTCTGTTAACCTTTTTTTTTTTTTTTTTTTTTGCTTAATTTTTGCTATTTTGCCTCTCCCTTTGTTTGACAATGGCACAAAAAAAAAATGTATTCAGATTTCCATTTATAGGAATTGGACAGATTGACGTGCTATTCTCAGTTTCTAAGGCAGTGTTTGAAGAGAGATTTTATCATTTTGACTGTAAGAGAATGTTATCTAACAGGCTCGGAGCCGGGAGGTGACTCCTGGCTCTCCATTGTAAGAGGTGGGACTTGACCCTGGGTCTTTAGCATGGCTCCTCTCTTACACATCAGGGTTCTGTGTGTCTGGAATAGGCAATTCTTGCTTCCTCGGGGCATTTTTTGACCCAAGACTTGAAAGACTGATAGAAAGAGTGTCCCAGCCCCAGGCACAGTGTGTACCCTGGTAGGCCTGAGTCCCCGGTGGTAGGTAGGCTTTACCAGACCTGTCACCCTTCTGAAACCTTACTTTTGGAGCAGGCTTGCCTGCGGCTACTGTAATCGACCAACATACCAAAATTTTCCTGGCAGTGGGGGCTGAGTGAGGCTGGGAAAGGACTCATGTGAAAAAATAGATCCACCTCACTCCACCCGCGCTCTGCAGGGGATGCGGGCAGGCCTCTCTCAGACAGCTAGTCTCGGCTGTCTCGGTTCCACGGTGATAGGCGTCCTGAGTAAATACTCTGATAGACTAAACACACGTTGTCCGCGTTGGCCCGGGGAGCAGCCGTCCCAGGAGTGCTCCCAGTGCAGTCCCCTGCGTGTGGCAGCCCGACTTGTTAATCATCCTCTGGCAGGCGGGCCAGGCTGGAGATACTTAGCCTGGGACTTGTGCGTTACCCTGTATGCTAATGGGAGCATTCTTAGAACCATAATTTCCGTTCCGACCTCCGTCGACTGTCCTTATAGAGAACGCAGACATAAAACAATTCCTGAAATGTCAGGAAGGAATTGCATCTAATGGGGGGGTACCTCTGCCAAGGAAAACATACTTCATTTTTAAAGCATTCCCATCCAAACAGGGAAATTTGAAAACTGCTCTTGGGGCCTGAGCACTTTCATAAGCTGTAATGTTGTACCCACTAACTCCATTGCATGCCCCCACCATGGGCCGGAGAGCTGTCTGTGAAGGAGGTGGGGGCAGGAGGCAGATGTCCTAGCCAAGACCTGTACGAACTGGTATCCTCTAGAAAACCTTCCCAGGGCTCCAAACAAGAAGATTTACAATGGGAACCGATACTAAATACCATAATGTCCTACCCGCATCTGTTACAATGCAGAACGTGGTCTCCAGTTGGGTCTTGAACCCTTGGCCTTCCTGATACCTGACACTAATGGCTAAGAAGCATGTCCTAGAGCCTTTACAGTTTTCTGTTTGGAGATATCCTATCTGTCTCCCAATCTCCCTATCTGCTTGTGAGCAGATACCACTTAGAATAATCATAATAACACATTGATTATACTTGCTATCATTATAAATGTCTATAATACGCCAGGAATAAGTATTTCACCTACATTGTCTCACATAACCCTCTCCGACTTAACTCTCTGTCACATGACATCATAAGTTGCTGTTGCATCCTTTTTGCAGAGAAGACTGAAGCACAGGATGGTTGCATAGTGTGCCCAAGGTCACACAGGTAGTAAATGGCTGGCCTGGAATTTGAAGATCACACTCTAGAACTGTGCAAGGTGATCCCACTGGGATAACAAAAAAAAAAAAAAAAAAAGAAATTATAGAACTTACATTTTTACTTACTTTTTATCATAAACACGCATTTCTTTTTTTTTTTTTTTTTTAAGATTTTATTTATTTATTTATTTATTTAGGAGAGAGATAGAGGAAGAGTGTGAGCAGGCGGAGGGTACAGGGAGAGGGAGAGAGAATCTCAAGCAGACTCCCAGCTGAGCCCGGAGCTGATGTTGGACTGGATCCCACAACCCCGAGATCATGACTTGAGCCGAAATCAAGAGTTGGCCGCCCAACTGATTGAGTCACCTTTATGCATTTCTATTTGATGACTCTATTTTATAAAATACACTTTGACAGTACAGAACCACAAAGTAAATTCTGAATAGGTATATACATATAATGAAGGATTGTGGTCAGATATTTTTTATTTATGGGTCAAACAAATTTGGAGATCATTTCATTTGAGCACTAAGTCCACTTGAAAGAAGAGTCTCTTTTCCTGAGAAGTAACTGATGTTGATAATATCATGGGAAATCTGATATTTCCAGAGAGTGTAAGCTTCTTGAAGGCAGCTATTTTTGTCTGATTGGCTTATTACCCTATTGCCAGGGCCAGACCTAATGCATGGTAGGCATTCGATATAAAAGGTGGTAATGAGGGACGCCTGGGTGGCTCAGTGGGTTAGGCCTCTGCCTTCGGCTCAGGTAATGATCTCAGGGTCCTGGGATCAAGTCCCGCATTGGGCTCTCTGCTTGGCAGGGAATCTGCTTCCTCCTGTCTCTCTCTCTGCCTACTTGTGATTTCTCTCTGTCAAATAAATAAATAAAATCTTTTAAAAAAATGTGGTAATGAAATTTGGAAACGTAAGTGAACATCGCTAATGAATAAGTTACTGCTCTCACATTATAACACATGCTATGTTCAGTGACATTGCTCGGTGTGTTTAATGAATTATCCTTCACTGAGAATTCAGAGCTGGACATGCTGTGTGAAAAACTACAGTGAGTGTGGTGTGATTTCATCAAACCGTGCATAAGCACTGACCCTTTCCATGTAAGGAAGGCAGGGCTGAGGGCTTTCACCAAGAAAGGTGCTGTGACAAGTTAGGAGCATGGAGAAGGCAGAGGGGAAAGCCAAAATAAATAAATAAATAAATAAATAAATAAATAAATAAATAAAGGAATCACATCCAAATTCAGTTTCATGAAGAGATTTCAGCGATCGCCTACCTGCTCTTAACCTGCTTGCTGATGAGCTTACTTTCCTGTTGCCCACTGTATCCTCATAGAAAAGGGGGTTTTGCCCAAGGTGAGGCAATAGGGGAAGGTCCCTGTAAGGAGGTAAGATCTGAGCCTGGCTTTGGATAGGTGGAGAGGAGAAGAGCCACATCTGAACAGTGTCTTGTATACAAATCGGAACTTGCTTTATTCTGTGGGGCAGCCTGGTTTTATGCTCATTTTGTAAATGAAGAATTGGGGGCTTGGAGTGATGAAGCTGCTTGCCCGAGCTCACAAAGCCAGTTTTCTGGTTATGGTGCCACACTCCACCCTGGGCGACACAGCATTCTTAGGATGTGTCTGGTATCTTTTCTGTGTCTGAAATCGATTTCTTCTAGGTGCTACGAGCTTAGTGGTTCTCTCCCTCAGCATTCTGTCTGGTTCTCTCAAACGAGGAAAGCTTGCATATCATTTGTAGAAGTGCTTCTATTTCTGAAAGGGAATAATCTGGGAACTAGAAGACTTTGGTAATCTTCTCTTCCTTGAATGCCCTAGTCGAGCCGGTGCTGTGACTTGTACAGATCAAGGAAAATTGGGTGTGTGTGTATGTGTGCATATGTGTTCGAGGGGTGGGAGTGGATGCTTTTTTTTTTCCCCATTATGCAACATTGGTAAACCTCCTCATTTTTCCTGAGTTGGTCCAGTTGTTTTGACCTTTTTCTTGTAAATATCTTGACGATCCCTTTCTCTTAAAATCCTCATAGCAGTTTCCAAATTTGGCTGCAAATCTGAACCACCTCAGGGGCTTGTTCAACACACAGAATGCCCTGCCAACCTCTGCAGATTCTGATTCAACAGATCTAGGTCAAGGTCCCCAAATACAAGGTGGTAACAAATATCACGGGTAGACTTGAGGGCAGCCATATTTGAGAACCTGTGGGCTACCCTGCACTTAAAAAAGGAAATAATGATGGCTGTCTCATAGACGTTCAACTAGTCTGAAACCACACTGAAGGAAGCAGAAAATGACACTGAAATGTCATCAATGCTATGAACTCAGTTGGGAGAGATCATGGGGAAGGATGATGAAAATACAACCACAGATTTTCATAAAACAAACAGTAAACCTCATTAAACTCACTGGAAAATCCCAGTATCCACAAATACAGTATGTGAAGTAAAGCCTTTGATCCTTTCTGAGTAAGAAGTTCTTCTGGATATTCTGTTGAACTTTTTGAGTTATTGCAATAAATGGAACCCAGTAAGAGCCACAGGTAACTTGTTGTCTTTGTTCATTAGCAGCAAAATGGCGATGTCCCCCTTCTCAGAGATCACAAGAAGTGGAAAAGGGGAGAGTTAACCACCAACTTTCTTTGCCCCTGATCTTACCACTTGGGTTTTCAGAGAAGGGGGAGATGGTTCTTGGGGTCATTTTATTATGCAGCAAATCTTTTCAGACCATGGTTACATGGCAAACATTGTTCCAGTCTCCATGCATGGTTGAACTAGGCAGAGTCTCTCATTAGTTGACATTCTTGTGGTAAAAATGGACAGTAAACAAGTAGATGAAATGTTAGTAAAGATCATATCCTTGCATGATAAGGGACATAAAGAAAACAGAGTGATGGAGGGGAACTCAGGAGAATTCTTCTCTGAGGGGAGGAACACTTTGAATGGAGACCTGGTTGTCAAGGGAAGTGCCATCTGAAGAGCTAAGAGAGAGTGGTCCAGGCAAGGGGAACGTGTAGTGGAGGATTTCCCAGGAAGCTCTTGAAGGTGATGCTCTTGGCTCTGACTTACGCGGCCCCTCCAAGTCCTTGAGAAGGACCTTATTTATTTTGTGTTTTTTATTTCTCTTAAAGGCACACCCCACCTACCCACCTACCCCTGGTTTTCTAAGCTTCAGACCCCATAAAACCTAGACCTACTCCTGGGAATGTGGGGTACAAGGGCGCTGAAGTAGGGATGAACTTGGAAAACCTAAAGGAAAACATAAAACTGGTGTGGAGAAATCTATGCTTAAGATAAAGTGTGGTGCTAGAGTCATTCATTCATCCATTGGTTCACTCATTCATTCATCCATCCAACGTTAATTCATTGAGTAATAGGCACTGATAAATAGTAAACAAATTAAATCCTTATCCTCCTGGAACTTCTGTTCTAATGGAGACAGGAAAAAAAAAGAAATACATATATAATATGCCAGATAGCAATGGTGAAAAGTAGCAGGCTAAGAGCCACACAGAGTGTGTGGTGGGGAGGGAGGCAGCAGAGTTTAATTTTTTAAGGGTTGGGCAAGGAAAGCCTCTCTTGTAGTTCCCATCTGGAATAAAATCTCTTTTTTAAATAAAGAATACAAATATTTTTATTAACATTTGATATATGAATTCAGTCTATTTTTTATTTTATTCTTTTTTAAATTATATTTTATGTTACTTTTAAAAATTTATTTATTTGTTATTATTGTGTTCAATTAGCCAGCAAATCTAAAGGAAGAAAGAGAACGGGCCATATGAGGGAAGAATATTCCAGGCAATGGAACAGCCAATAGAAAGGCCCCAAAGCAGACACATGACAATTCTTTGTGAGGGAGGCCCTAGACATAGAAGAAAGCAGGGCTAGGTTATGGAGGCCCTAGGGAAGGCACTTGGATTTCATTCAAAGAGCAGTGGGCAGCCTTTGGAGTACCAGTACTCTAGAAGTCTAAGGAGGGAGAGAACATTGAGTATCAGAGGCCTCAGATTTGACTTCAAGTTGGGCTTAGAAGGATCCAGTTGGATAAGCTAATAAAGAGAAGCATAAAGAAGAGGCCAAGCAGGAGCCACATCTGGAGACTGGGTGAGGAGCTGTGAAAGGTGCCTGTTTTGGGGCCAGATGGCAGGTGAGCTGGAGCTGGAGTTCTATGTGGGAAAGCACGGGGAATGAGGTCACAAAGGCAAGATTTACGTGAATCATGGTGAGCCTTGAAGCCAGGCCAGGGAATTTGGTATTTATAATGTGGATTCCCGGATGCCACAAGTAGAAGAGTGATGACTCCAACATTTCTGTCTAGGAGCATTTTGGGGATAGCTTTCTGGTTAGAGATAGAAGTGATGGGGAGGGGTAGATGATTTGTCTTAGAGTCAGCAAGCAAAAGTTTTTACCTAATTGGTATGTTTACTTGAGGGTGGCTTTTGGAGAGGGTTGGGGGTAAGGATTTGAGGTCTTACCCTAAAGCTACATTGTATAGTAACTGCACTGTTTTTACTTGGATGACATCCCTATTTGGGGTTCCTAAGAGGTAGGGGGCAATGGAAATTATGGGTGCTTAACCCTTGGCTCTATCTTGGGAGAATGAAAATTACATAATGGAAGCGTGATTTAGGAATGTTGCTGAGAGTGAGTTTGGGAGGGGCACTCATTCATTCACTCTCCAGGGGGCCAAGTGGCAGAATAGAAATTGGACATTCCTGAGTTCACACTCAATTTCTACCACGTACTAGCCCTGTGACCTTGGACAGGTTTTATTTAATTTCCTAGAACTTCAGGTTTTTTTACCTGTAAAATTTGATATCTACCTTAGTGGTTGCTGTGATATGAGATAATGTGTATACACTGCCCAACCTAGGGCTTGCCACCACCAGGTGCAAAATAGATGGTAGCTCCTATGGGGACACTGGAAGCAGCATAGGTTTGCTACTACGAGGGCTTTCAGTAACGTGAGGGTGGGGACTGCAAGCTGAGGATAGTTTTGAGAGACTTCGAAGACCACCTTAACTATAACTGGGACCTCGAAGGAGAGGCTGTATTCAAAGATAACATGAAGGTTGTTTTTTTTTTTTTTAATTTTTTATTAACATATAATGTATTATTTGCCCCAGGGGTACAGGTCTGTGAATCGTCAGGCTTACACACTTGACAGCACTCACAATAGCACATACCCACCCCAATGTACATAACCCAATCCCCCTCCCAAACTCCCCTCCCCCCAGCAACCCTCAGTCTGTTTTATAAGATTAAGAGTCTCTTATGGTTTATCTCTCTCCCGATCCCATCTTGTTCCATTGTTTCCTTCCCTACCCCCCAAGCCCTCCACTTTGCCTCTCAAATTCTTCATATCAGGGAGATCGTATGATAATTGTCTTTCTCTGATTGACTTACTTCGCTCAGCATAATACCCCCTAGTTCCATCCACGTTGTTGCAAATGGCAAGATTTCATTTCTTTTGATGGCTGCATAATATTCCTGTGTGTGTGTGTGTGTGTGTGTGTGTGTGTGTGTGTGTGTGTATAGACACCACATCTTCTTTATCCATTCACCTGTTGATGGACATCTAGGTTCTTTCCATAGTTTGGCTATTATGGACATTGCTGCTATAAACATTCAGGTGCACATGCCCCTTCGGATCACTACGTTTGTATCTTTAGGGTAAATACCCAGTAGTGCAATTGCTGGGTCATAGGGTAGCTCTATTTTCAACTTTTTGAGGAAACTCCAGGCTGTTTTCCAGAGTGGTTGCACCAGCTTGCATTCCCACCAACAGTGTAGGAGGGTTCCTCTTTCTCTGCATCCTTGCCAGCATCTGTCATTTCCTGACTTGTTAATTTGAACCATTCTGACTGGTGTGAGGTGGTATCTCATTGTGATTTTGAAATGTATTTCCCTGATGCCGAGTGATGGTGGAGCTTTTTCATGTGTATGTTGGCCATCTGGGTGTCTTCTTTGCAGAAATGTCTGTTCATGTCCTCTGCCCATTTCTTGATTGGATTATTTGTTCTTTGGGTGTTGAGTTTGCTAAGCTCTTTATAGATTTTGGATACTAGCCCTTTATCTGATATGTCATTTGCAAATATCTTCTCCCATTCTGTCAGTTGTCTTTTGGTTTTGTAGACTGTTTCTTTGCTGTGCAAAAGCTTTTGATCTTGAAGTCCCAGTAGTTCATTTTTGCCCTTGCTTCCCTTGCCTTTGGTGATGTTTCTAGGAAGAAGTTGCTGCAGCTCAGGTCGAAGAGGTTGCTGCCTGTGTTCTCCTCAAGGATCTTAATGGATTCCTTTCTCACGTTGAGGTCTTTCATCCATTTTTAGTCTATTTTTGTGTTTGGTGTAAGGAATGGTCCAATTTCATTTTTCTGTGTGTGGCTGTCC